GCATATTTCTCTGCAGCTCCATCAGCATGGTTATGAGCTTTATTTTTAATTCTTTTTCAGGAAGACTGGTTAGGTCTATCTCCTTCTCAGGGTTTGCCTCTGTGATCTTGGTCTGTATCAATTTCTTCTGCCTTTTCATGGTGATAGATATATTTGTGGGGAGCTGGCGCATATGTTGGGTAAGAGAAAGTCCCTTCTTGCCAGTTTGTGGCCTTCCTCTCCTGGGAGAACAGCGGCCTCTAGTGGCTTGTGCTGGGCAGCTGCGTGCAAATGGGGCTTCTGATCTTGCCCAGCCACTATGGAGTTTATTTAGCTCTGCAGTTGCTGTGGGCATGGCCTGCCTCCGGCTGCTTCTCCAATATGGTGGAGCTGCATTGGAGGGGGAACAGGCTGGAGGCTGTTTATCGTGGTGAAGGGCCTCTGAGCTGCACTGCTGGGGTTCAGGTGCCCAGAGTTCCCCAGGATTCCCAGCTGCTGGGCTAAATGTCCTGGGGCACTTCCATCCAGTTGTGTTGTCTCTGTCCCTTTAAGGCTTTCAAAAAGCACTCGACTGGCTTTTCTTTGTCCTGGGTGCACTGGCTGCGGGGACCCACTCACAGGTCTTACTGTCCTGTTTCCCTAGTTTCCAGGACCCCACGGACGCACTGTGTGTCTGCACTCCAGTGCGGATGGCTGGGGCTGGGTGTTCAGCAGTCCTGGGCTCCCTCTCCCTCCTCACTCCGACTCCTCTCCTCCTGCCCGGAGCTGGGGTGAGGGGCGCTCGGGTCCCGCCAGGCAGAGGCTTGTATCTTACCCCTTTCACCAGCTGCTGGGCTCTCACAGGTGTGGATGTAGTCTGGCTGTTGTCCTGTGTCTTCTCGTCTCTCTTTTAGGATTAGTTGTATTTGTTGCATTTTCAAAAATACATATGGTTTTGGGAGGAGATTTCTGCTGCCCTACTCATGCTGCCATCTTGGTTCTCTCTCTCAGTTATCTTTTAAACTTGAAAATATTAGTTTGTATTCAAATATCTGTTTATTGTATATTTCAAGTTATATTTTATATAAATATCAGAATACCTAAAAGGTTCAAAATGGACTTTTTGGTTTGGAGGAGATTTACTTTGGAATCATATTATACAAGCAAAGAAAAAACACACATGGTAATTTCATAAGACACAACAAAAGTGAAAAAAGTGAGACAAATATCTGCCTTAAAAGTTTTTCAGTAATTTATTATGTATACATATGTATTTGAAGAGTAGTTGAGAGTCCTTTTATATAGTTCTTTAAATGAGGTCCAATGGCTGAAAACTCTATAGTGAGACTTAGTCATAGGCAATTAGAAGTCATCATGACTTTTAGTGATCTTTTCTTCCTCCCAAATTTATATGATCTTTTCTTTCTCCCAAATTTATTAATCTTTATTTGGGAAGAGAAAAAAGCCTTTTTTCATCTGCCAAATGTAAGATTCTACAGGTTATTCTTGGAAATTCAACCCCAAGAATATACTGACAAGAGTAAGGCTATACACACACACACACACACACACACACACACACACACACACACACAATCACATATGTATATACAGTAACAGCATAAGGATAATTTGTGACTCTACACTTTAGTTTTACAGTCATCTGGCTTTGTCAGTTATGTCACAGATGTCTCCGTTTCAAAAATGTGTGACATCATCTTGACTATGTAGGTACCACTTTTTGAAGATGATAGTATCTAGCAGTAGTTTTCTTAGACCATTTAATATTCTCTTCTTGGTTCCATGTTGTCACAACCAAAGAGGTTTTCCTACCATTGTTGTCCTCATGGTATTGGTGCACATTTTCACAGTGGCAGAATTCAGATTCCCATAGAAAACACCCCTACGGAGGCACTAAGAACCGCTAAGAGCTCTTTAATGGGTTGATCATCTGTCAACTTGGATTTGTGAGTTATTCTAACAGTGAGCATAAACTGAGAGCCAGTAGCAATGGGTTTGTGAATTTCTAAAAATATGTCTTTTTTAGTTGACTGCAGTGCCTCCTCTTTATGTTCCTGTATTATATGTTTTATTTCCCAGTTATATATCTATGAATGTTGAACATAGTAAATAAGAATTTTTTGATAATAAAAATAATAAATCATTTAGATAAAGTCTACATCAACAGAGTTGGAAAAATCTTTGAAGCATAAGTTATTTTGTAAATTTTGGTATGAGAATGTTTATTCATCTAAAAATCAGTAAATTAGATTTCATCATAATGGAAAAAATCTAGGAGTACTACTATTTGCATTTGATTGAAATACTTACAAAAATACCAAAATATATGGACATTTTCAGTTAGGAATATTAGCAATATCATTCCCTGCAAAACTTTATCAGGGAGAGAAAAAGAGGCGGGGGTGGGTGAGGGAGAAGGATAGATGGTCGTGTTTGAAGGACTAGAGCTTTCATATTTTTAATCTTTAAGTGATTTCTGTATCTGTTATCTTAAAGATGCAAAGCCTCTACTGAACATATGAACGGAAACTACACTTGTAGTCCCCAAAACTAGGTTTTAAGGAGGCCAGGATTTTGTACCATCATATCCCCTATTCTCCCCCATAGTACCTCTCTGAGCATAAGGAAGATCAGTATAAGTAGAGAGGTGTAGAAGCTGTAGCTTTACATAGTCTGTTTCTGGCACTTAAATGTAAAGCACTGATACTGTCCCAGAATAAATTCTTCTCCCTATATGTCGTAACTGGAAAGAGGAAAATTTCCTCCCCAGTCTTGAAGATACATATAATAAAAGTCTTGGCCAGGCATCAGAAATTTAGCTAAAATCTTTGTACATAAAATAGCTCAGAAGCTCAAAATGAGAAACAGAAATTTAGTTCTATACATGTGGATAGGACAAGAAAAGGAACCAAGGATAATTCACCCTTTGTGTATATGAGCAAATGCCAAGGCCTTGGGGATGGTGGGAAGGGGAGATGTTGGTCAGAGAGTATAGCCTTCCAGTTATAAGATAAATAAGTTATTGGGATCTAATGTACAACACCATAATTATAGTTAACAATACTGTATTAGATACTTGGAAGTTGCAAAGAGAATAGATCTTAAATGTTCTTATCCCAAAAAAGAAGTGGTGATTATGTGGTATGGTGTAGGTGTTAGCTAACACTATGGTGGCAATCATTTTGCATTATATGAGTGTATCTAATCCACGTTGTATAACATTCTTACACAATGTTATATGTCAATTATATCTCAATAAAGCTGAATAATTAATTAATTACAAAAGAAATCTTACAAATCAGTAATAAAAGGATGAATGTATTACAGGGATAATTGGGCAGGGATACACAGGAGGAAATTAGCAAACTTTACAATAATGATCCGAGAGCTTTTATTTTTAATTTTTATTTTGTGATATAAATAATGTGTGGTGTGAGTACATAAACAAAATACACTCTCTCTAATATCTGTGGACATTATGCTGAGTGGACATTAATG